TCGAAGGCTGCCCTGGCCCGGGAGGCCGACAACCAGGTGGCCCTGCTGGGCCTGGAGGGGGGCACTTGGAAGGCGACCCTGGAGAGCTTGGGGGTCTCGGGGCTCGTCTCTCCCACGTCAGACCCACGAAAAGTAGTCCCGCTGTCTTCTGTTTCCTCCCCTCCCCCTTCTCACTATGTGTCTGTCGTGTCCGTTCCGCAGCCCATTTGGGCTTAGGTTTCATGACGCCTCCTGACGGAGGGTAGTGGTGCTCTCTCGGTCCCAGGAAAGGTACCGCTCTCTCGTCTCAGATCGCATGTCTCGCGACGGTACTAACAGCACGACGCGCCGACAGGGGTAGCCCTCTGTCATTTACGCCATCGGTGGGATCTGCTGACTGGTTGTTAATCGTCTTCCAATCCTCCTCCTCCTCCTCCTCCTCCTCCTCCTCCTTTTCCTCCTCCTCCTCCTCCTCCTCCTCCTCCTCCTCCTCTCTCCTCCTCGTCTTCCGTTTTCGCCTGCTCACCCGCCTGGCGCCTCCCACACCACCACCCTTCGCACCCCACCGTGGGCCCGAGCGCCCGCCTGCTGCGCCCGCGGCGCTGCCAGCGCGCGCCTTCGCTCACCAATGGCCCCGCCGAGCCCGACGGAGGCCGCCATGGCCCCCGGCGGCGGCCTGCAGGACGAGCTCCTAGAGGGCGTGCGCGCGTTGCTGCTCGGCCAGCGCCGGCTGGAGCAGCTGGTGGCTTGGCATCGCTCGGACGCGTGCGTTTCTTGTTTTTTCCGGCGAGGACCGTCGAGGAGCATCCTGGATCATCGATACCTGTTTCCGGCGAGGAGCCTCTCGAGGATCCTCGAGCCGAGGAAAAAAACACGCACGAGAGATCGAACAATTGCCCGGGGAAGGGGCGCCCGAGCGATGGCGAGGTGGCAGACCTTGCGCAGGGCAGCTCCCTCGTGCCGCCCTCCTTGGGCCCCGAGGCGGCCGCGCAGGCCGCCGCGGCAGAGCCGGCGCAGGCGGAGCACGGCAGGGGGGGAGGGCCAGGTCGAGGACAGCGGCGGCGGCGGGCGTCGCGGCCGTTTCTGCGCCCGGCTCCTTGGGCAGGTCCTGCACCACCCGCGCAACCGGGGAGCCCAGGGCTCGCCTGGATTCTTCTGATCTGATGCGACTGCGATGGCTTTCGATTTCGCTTCGATTCGACTTGGGATTCCGATTTGGGTTCCGATGTCTTATCGGAGGCATACTATGCCTGTCGATGTTTAGCCGATTCGGCTTTTCGACCCGGATGCCGATTTCCGCCGATCCGATTCATTTCGACCGCCGATCCGATTTATCGATTCGATTCTGGGCTCTTCTGGAGAGCTTGCGCAAACTTCAAGGTCTTCATCGGGACTCAAGAGACGGGGGTCAGTGCAAACAGGGTTCAGTCAGGGCGACGTACCTTGCAGGATGCTGCAGAGCCAGGGGTACACTGACCCGGGTCTTGGGTGCGGGATCCTGCAGGATCCTGCAGAGTCCTGCAGGATCTTGCAGGATCCTGTAGATCCTGACTGGCCAAGGTCTGCAGTGACCCGGGTCAGTAGGTCCCCGACTTCAGCTTCACGCCTAAACTTCAATGTTGGTTGGTTAGGGGGCCACGTGCGAACCCTACCCCTACCCCCCACGATTTCTCAGCGGGAGGATGGGGTTCACTTCGCTCGGGAGATCCCGAACGAAGTGGACCCCCCCCACCCTGAGAAATCGTGGGGGGGCTTAGTGGGCCCCGGAAACGGCAGGGCCGTTTTTTCACCGTTTCCAAAAAAATGGCCCTTGAAAATGATAACGGCAAACGGCAACAAAAACGGCTCCAGGATTGGAACCGGAGCCGGAACCGGTCAAAAAACGGCGACGGAACCGGTAACAAAACTGCGTCGGAACCCGCAAAAAACGGCGTCGGAACCGGCCAAAAAACGGCCCTGTCGTTTCCAGGGCCCACTAAGCCCAGATCAATATAAAGGTGCAGGATCTTGTCGGTCAACCGTTGGTGGGCCTCCCGTTCTTCCCCGGCCACCAGACGTCGCCAGACGTTCCCAGAAGGCCCTGGAGGCCAGCACGTGGCAGGACAGAGAGGCAGATCCTCGGTCCTCCGTCTTTTCGTCCGCCGCCGTGCCTTCAGTACTGCGTGAAGTGCCCTGAGGTTCCTGCAGTTGGGGCTCCTCCGCACTGTCACTGGCTCGGGAGGGTCGAGACGGGGACGGGAAGAGCAGGGACGAGGACCAGCGGCAGCTCCTGCCCATCTTGAGTAATGTTCGCCCTCCGTGGCGCGGCGTGCGCTGCCCACGCGAGACAAAAGAGGTCGCCTTCCCAACAGAGGCCGCTGTTTGTTTTGCACAAGCCTTTGCTGTTGGACTATTTGTTGAATATTTTTGGGCACCTGTTGGGTATTTTTTGAGTATTTCTTATTTTTCTGTCAAAATCCCCCTGCAGAGGGACAGGCCCGACCTCATACCACGCGAGCTGCGGGCGTTCCAGAGAGTCCGCCTCGAGAAACTGGTCCGGATGGACCTTGGGAGGGCCTCCGCGCAAGGGAGTCGATATTTTGAGCGGACTTGGGCCGGGGGGCGAGCCGCCGCTGGCTCGGCTGGCCCTCCTCCAGCAGCAGCGAGGATGACGGCCGCCCGATGCCGCTTCGGGCGCAGTGTGTGGACCAGGATGCGGTCGAGCCCGTCGGGCGGAGGCAGTCTCTGTCCTCAGGGCTCATGGACGTCGAGCCGACTGCGTGGCTCAGCCGGGTGCAGGTCCGGCAGGAGCTGCTGGACATCGGCAGCGCCGAGCAGCTCGCCAGGGAGTGCGAGAAGGAAACGCTTGATGTCAGCATTGCACTTAACGAGGGGCTGTCGAAGTGGACCAGCAGCAGATCGAACCAGAATGTCGAGCAGAACTATCTGCAAAGCTCGATGGCCAAGCTGAGCGCGCAGAGCACGCAGAAGTGTTCATACAGGCTCTGCCACATACCCGTACTGTCTCCAGTTTCAAGCACGCGGGCTTGCATCGACATCATGAGTATGATCGTGCTTGCGTACAATGTGTCGTCGATACCGTATTTTCTTGCCTTCCAGGTTGAAGTAGGCGACAGCGCGTGGTTGCGCAGCATCGAGGACGCATCTGTGGTTTATTGGATGTTCGATCTGATCGTGAACTTCAGGACTGGGTATTACGAAGACGGGCTGGTTCAAATGAACCCCGCTAAAATTGCGCGTCGCTATCTGATGCGCAGCTTCTTGTTGGACATCCTGACGCTTGCGATGGACATAGGGTCCATGGTCATTCGGGCGCTGGAGACGTCATCTTCCCACTCGGCTTATGCTCCATACTTCCGGGTGCTCAAGACCTGGCGCATCGTGCGGGTCACCGGTTTTTTACGGCTCCGTACACTTGGTACTTTGATGGGGCGTTTGTCTGCTCAATCCCCGCACGCGAGTGTCCTCGCCGAATCGGCTCTCAACGTCCTCAAGTTCGTGGTCGCCCTCATGTGGATCAACCACATGATCGCGTGCCTCTGGGTCTTCGTGGGATGTGCGTCCACCTCCGACACTGGTTTCACATGGATGGTTCGGATGCAACTACTGGGAGGTAAGATTCTGATGTTGCCCTGGTCCGAAATCTTGTTGAATCTGATCTAATCCGGCTTAATCTGGCTTGATCCCGTTTGATCCGGCGCAATCCCGCTTAATCCACTGCCTAATTCGGCGTAGCAGACCCCCAGTGGGGCTTAATCCTCCTCAATCCTTGCGACAAAGGCCTCCCAGTAGTTGCCTCCCAAGGATGGATCTGTCAACTGGATCGTTGGACGAAAGTTTGAGGTACAAAGATCTGGGGGAGACCTATCAGTATTCAAGACGCCTCCGGCGAGTCACCGCCCACCCTATGGCTGACAAGCGGGCCCTTTTCGCGAGCCTCCTGGGGGCACCGTGGCCCCCTCCTGGGGGGCCTCGTGGGCTGGTCATTGGGCCTCCTCGATTGCTTTGCGGCCTCCCGCTTGGCTTGCCTTGGGTCTTTCTTGGAACCCTCTGCGGGCCCTGTTTCAGGCAGTCCCTGAGGTCGCTTGCGTGCCCTGTGGGGCCGATTCTGGATGCTAGCCTCTTGGTCGTTTGGGACGCCTCTCGGGGCCGTCCTGAGGCTGTCCTGGGCCGTCCTGGGCAGCCTTGGGCCTTGGGGCTTGCTAGAGGACTCTGCTGGACCGTCTTCGGGGCATCTGCCATCTAGGGACCCTCGTGGGACGTTTTTGCTTTTTGGGCACTATTTTGGCTCTCCGCGGCCATTCTTGGAGTAACCTTCAGCCGAACGGTTCGATAGCCCAAAGCATGGGTAACTCTAACATTCCGAAGTTGTTACAATCCTGACTGTCTAGGTCCGAACCGCGACGCTACAAACCGCAGTATCGGCTCCAGTAGAGTCTTGACGCGGGCGGGCTTTGCCAGGTTTTCGCCTGGGTCCCCCGAACTTCCGTGTCACTCGGAGGCCACGTTATCGTGCAAGTTTTTGGGGACATCCAAGAACGTCATGAGGTCGCCTAGTTCAGCAGGGAAAAAGCACACAGGTACGTACAATCAGTCGTCGATTCCCGAGAAAATATGGGAAAATATGGGAAGTGGGGGGGGAAGGCAAAAACCCAGAAAAAATATAGTAAAAGATGGGGAATCTTATCATTTGTGTGTATTCCTTTGTGTGTCCCAAGGGCCCCTTCACTTGTGGCCATGTCGGGCTGCCTTGGTGCGCTTGGGCCACCCTGTGGGGCCCTCTCTGGCTGCTCCAGGGCCCCTTGGCCGCCCGGTGGCTCCCTGGAGCGGCCGGGGCGCTGATACCACTCACGGAGACTCTGTTTTGCGCCGCGGGGGAGAGGACGCAGGAGGGTCACGTCCGGAGAGAGAAGATATTGGAAACACGATGCGGTAGGACGAGAGAAGACCAGAAGCAGCAGCAAGATAGCAGCCCATCCCATCTTGCTAGTCGTTCTGTAACCACGCAGACACTCACGGAGGCTCACACGCCTTTGGCCGGGTACTGCAACAACTTCTTCGTTCGTTCGTTCGGCCGGCGAACCTCACCGCATTGCACTGGTCGTTGACACAGATGACGCCTGGATCCATGCAAGTGTTCCCTGTGAACAGCTCAGAAAGGGTGTTCAATATTTGGTGCCTCCTGGGCGGTCTGCTGATCTTCTCCACTCTTGTGTCGGCGATCTCGGCGAACGTGGCGCAGCTCAAGATGGAAATGCAGGGACACAGCGAGAAGATGGTGAAACTCGACCGGTTTCTGTACAGGTGAGCGTTTTTGTTATTCCTTGCTTTGCCGATCGGCGCGGGCCCTCCCCCCATCCCCTTCCCGCCCCATCGAGTGGATTTTGGCTGTTTTTTGGCGCCTGTTTCAAGCGGGTGGGGTCTCCTCCTAGAGGACGGGCGCACGGTTCCAAACAGCCGCACGAAGCAGAGGTCCCGAGCCAGACCCCCCACCTCCCCCCCCCCCCCTTCCTCCCAATATCGAGACGCCGAATAGAAAAACGCTCACCAGGTCGGAGATCGAAGCTGACGTCAGAGTGCAGGTGTGCAAGCAGGTAAAGTTGAGGCTGATGCACCACCGGCCACAGGTAGTCACGGATCTTGTTGAACTCGACCTGCTCTCCCCTTCTCTGCGCAACGAGCTGCAGCTGGCCCTGTGCAATCCGCACCTCTTCGACCATGAGCTGCTGCATGTCCTGTCCATCACGGACGCCGCGTCGTGGAGCGAGATCTGCCGCACCTGCGTCGACTTCTCCATTCTCGCGAAGCTGGACACGCTGTTCACCCCCAGGGCGAGGGCGGAGGGGATGTACTTCGTCGCGCGTGGCAGTCTGTGGTATACCATTGACCGCAGCTTCCCCGGGGAGCTGTCGGAGAGGGTGTTGCCGGGCGGGTGGTTTTCCGAGGCGGCGCTGTGGTGCAAGTGGTGGCACATGGGCTGCGCCGAGGTCAAGGCCTCCGCCACCTGCGAGGTGCTGCTGCTGAGGGCCGCCACGCTTCTGCCCATCCTGCTCAAAAGAGGCCTGCTCGGGCAGCTGATCTGGGCGTACGCGGTCAGCTTCCACACGTTCCTGAAGCAGTCCGTGCCCCCCCTCTTCAACCTGCCGAACGACCTCGTCGTGCCCTTCGGCGCCGACGAGGTCATCGCCGCCATGCCGAAGCACGCGACGGCGGTCCTGGGACGGGAGGCACTGAAGGTGCTGTCGGCGCCCCCAGACACGCTCCTCGCCAGCTGGCGCAGCCAGTTCAGTCAGGACAACCTCCACAAGCTGGCAGCGGAGGTGGAGCGCGGGGGGAGCGCGCTACTGGTAACGGCCAAGAGTGGGGTCGTGCGCTGCGTGCCGGTGGTGGTGCTGCGGCTGCGGCGCCGGGACGACGATCGGCTGTTCGTGCGGCTGCAGACGTCCTGGGAGGAGGGCGCGCAGAGGGCGAAGTGCCAGCTGCCGGGGGGCAAGCAGATGGCGGGCGAGGACCCGAACGGCTGCCTGCAGAGGCTGTTGCAGGTCGGCGGCGAAATCCGAACCCTACCCTCGCCGATCAACGATTCAGGCAACTCGATGGGCGGCGGGTTAGGGTTCGGAATTCGTCCAACACGTGACGAAATGCAAACCCTACCCCCGCCTCCCATCGATTCAGGAAAAATTGTGGCTGGCGGGGTTTAGGGTTCGGATGCCTCCACCTAGCAGGGGAAGCTCAGGGCGCTGGCCAGCGGCCTCACGGTGAGCGGGATGGAGAGGCAGAGCCAGCAGGAGCAGTCCTGGCACTTCGGCGTCACCACCAGGTACGTCCGCACAATCGTTGCCGGGGAGTGGCCGAGCGCGGCGGACGATGCGCTGCAGGATTTCCTCATGGTCGGCAAGCAGCCCGCGGGGGACGTCCCCGGCTCGCCCACGCTGTCGTTCAGGAGTGTCTGGAGCTCGAAGTGAAGAGCAACGTTCTGACGCTCCGCGTACATGCACCAGCCCGTTCAAAAGCAGACACCAGGCGAGCTGCCCAGATCAAGGGTGTGTAGTGTCCTGGTTGAGTGGTTGCCTGTCGTTGCGTGCGGTGCCTGTATAGCGTCGTGCGCGCCCCGGGTTGCCTTGGTAAAGTGGTTGCTGCCGTTGCTCGCCGTGCCTGCGTTGCTTTAGGTGCGCGAACACCGACGACGCTCGCGCTGGTCATCTAGCACGGAGGGAGCGCCGACGGGCAACCACTCAACCAAGGCAGCCGCAGCAAACGCGGGACGACAACGGCGACGGCGATGGCGACGACGACGGCGGCAGCGACGACGACGATGAGGACGAGGACGAGTACGACGACGAGGACGAGGACGAGGACGAGGACTACGACAACGACGACGACGAAAACGACGACGACGACGGCGAAGACTGCGACGACGACGACGACGGCGGCGGCGACGACGACGATGACGACGACGACAGGAGTCAATCTGTAGACCTTGGTTGTTTTTCGCAGTGGGAGCGTCTTGGAGAACTCTTGGGGCCATCTTGGAACCCTCGTTGGATCATCTTGGAGGCCTCTTGGGCCCTGCTGGGGCTCTCTTGGGGACTTCTTGGGGCGCTCTGGGGGCTCTCTTGGGGCCCTCTTGGAGTCATGGGGGGACTTCTTGGGGCGCTCTTGGAGGCCATCGATCAAAAGACGGGTGGGTGGCAGATTTCGGCCCTCCTGTCGGGGCCAGACAAATCGCCTCTGGGGGCCCTTTTGGGTCGCTCTTGGGGTGGTCTTTGGCGCTCTTGAGTTCGTCTTAGGGTCCTCCTGGGCCCCTTTTGGGGCCATCGTGGGCCATCCTGGAGCCAACTTGAGGCCTCGAGCCCATCGTAAGACAAAAGGCGAACATGCAAACCACATCTAAAACAAAAACAAGGTTTGAAGGGTTTTGACCTCTGGGGTGCCTCCTTGGGAGGCTCGGAGGGCACTTGAGGCCGTCCTGGGGCGATCTTGAGGGCTCTTGGAGACATGTTGGAGGCTATCCTGAATCATCGTGGGATATCTTGGACGATCTTGGAGGCCATATTGGGCTCTCTGTGGGACTATTGGAGCCACCAGGGGCCAGAAGGACTCTCTGACACCTCGCGTGCAGGGGTCCAGATCCAGGGGGCCCCTCACCGAAGGGGAAGGAGTGGGTTAGCAGAACCACCCCCCTAGACCTGCAGCGGCATCATCCGCTAGGAACTTCTGGCACAGGGAACCACTTGAGATAGTCCAATACTAGTATACCGCAAGTTGTTCTGATACACGTTGCACATATTCCGACACCAGTAGCACTAAACAAGAAGGCCGTTGCATGCAGTTGTTGTTCCAGACATAGTACAAAGACTAACCGAACTAAACACTATTTTTTTGGTCGGCGGGGCGAGAGTGAACCTCTTCCGCTAAAAGCTAAGCAGCCAGCAAGAGTTGCGGCCAGAGACGAGGGCCGTCCGTGTCCGACAGGATGTCGGTGGAGAAAAACATATCTAAACACGAGGTGCGTAGGAAATCGACCAGGAACCTGGGAACCTGGGAACCCGGAACCCACTGAAAGCGGGAACCCAGAACCGGGAACCCAGGAACCCAGCTGGCCACCAACATCCGCGGGAACTTTTCGCCAAATCTTTCAAATTCCCGCTTGGACCGCTTCAGTGCGAGCCCTGAGTGGGGAAACGCTCCAGCATGAGGCTCCGAGAGGTTCCATGGGGCTCCACGCCGCTCGCTCGCCGCACGAGCCTTGCACGCCGCGCGAGTCTCGCGCGCCGCTCGATCCTCACACGCCGACGTCTGCGCTCCTCCTCTCGGGCCCCTCTTGGGCCTTCCCTGGTGAAGGTGTTTTTATTCGGCGTTTCGACACTGGGCGGAAGCGGGGGGGGGTCTGGCCCTGGACCTCTGCTTATTGGGGCCGTGCGTCCTGTGGGGGGGACCCCGCCTGCCTGAAACAGGCGCCCAAAACAGCCCAGATCTACTCCATGAGGGGGGGGAGGGGGGGGGCGAGGGCCCGCGCCGATCGGCAAAACAATGAATCACATTTAAAAAACGCTCACCTCTTGGCCTTCTTGGCAGTGTTTTGCCTCCTGGGCCGTCCTCAGTCAGGGCCCACGTGGGCCGTCTTGGGGCCCTCTTGGAACCCTCCTGGGTTCTCCGTGGCCGTCCCAGGGCGTTCTAGGGGCCTCGGAACTCAGAATTGTGATGATGTCTGAGGCGAAATTTCCCGGACCACGCGAAACGCGTTGGACCACCTCGCGCGCGACATCTCGGAGCTCCAAATTGCAAGGATGCCTCGGGCGAAACTGGCTGGACCATCTCTCGCGCGTCATCCCGGAGCCCAGAATTGTGAGGATGTCTAAGGCGAAACTTGCTGGACTACCTTGCGCGCGGCACCTTGTAGCCCAGAGTTGTGAGGATGTCTTAGGCGAACGGGCCAGGCCACCTCTCGCGCGGCATCTCGTAGCTCAGAGTTGAGAGAATGTCTCAGGAAAAACAGGCTGGACTGCCTCTCGCACGACATTTTGGAGTTTAGAGTTGTGCGGATGTCTCAGGCGAAACGCCCACCCCCAGCCAACCCGGAGCCCAGAGTTGCGAGGGTGTCTGAGGCGAAACGGCCCGCACCACCTCATTAGTTGAGGATGTCTCGTCTCGGGGGTCCCCTGGCTTGAATTATTCCCAACCGTCCTATGGTGTTGGGTCCTCGTTTTGAGAAGAGAGCGCCCCGCGTCCCTCCTCCTCTGCTTTCCTCCTCCTCCTCCTCCTCCTCCTCCTCCTCCTCCTCCTCCTCCTCCTCCTCCTCCTCCCCCTCCCCCTCCGCCGCCGCCGCCGCCGCCGTTGTCGCCGCCGCCGCTGCCTCCTCCTCCCTCCTCCTCCTCCTCCTCCTCCTCCTCCTCCTCCTCCTCCTCCTCCTCCTCCTCCTCCTCCTCCTCCCCCTCCTGACTGCCTTCGCCCACCGCACTAATTAACCATTTCAGCGCACCCCTCGCACGCTTCGTGGCCCCATAGGGAACTCCACCGAAGGCCCCACTGCCACCGCCCGCATGCGTCCCCACCACCCAGTACAGCGCTTCGTGGCGAGAGGAAGCTCCACCCAGTGGCCCTAGAGGAAGCGCTTCGTGGCCCCATAGGGAGCTCCCGCACTCAGAACATCGCTTCGTGGTTGCATAGGGAGCTCCACCGAAGGCCCCAGTGCTACCGCCTGCATGCGTCTCCACCCCCCAGTACAACGCTTCATGGCCGCAGAGGAAGCTCCACAAGAAGGCCCCAGTGCTACCGCCTGCATGCGTCTCCACCACCCAGTACAACGCTTCATGGCCGCAGAAAAAAGCTCCACCGAAGGCCCCAGTGCTACCGCTCGCATGCGTCCCCTCCACCTAGTACAGCGCTTTGTGGCGCCATAGGGAGCTCCAGCGACGGACCCAGTGCTACCGCTCGCACGCGTCCCCTCCACCTCGTACAGCTCTTCGTGGCGCCATAGGGAGCTCCACCGCAGGCCCGAGTGCTACCGCCCGCATGCGTCACCTCCGCTCAAGGCAGCGTTTTGTGGTCCCATAGGGCGCACCGACGGCCTCAGTGCTACCGCCCGCATGCGCCACCCCCACCTGGTACAGCGCTTCGTGGCTCCACAGGGAGCTCTACCGAAGGCCCCAGCGCTACCGCCCACATGCGTCCCCCCACCCAGTACATCGTTACGTGGCCCCAGGGGGAGCTCCACCGACGGCGCCAGTGGCACCGCCCGCGTGCGTCCCCCACCAGTACAACGCTTCATGGCGCCATAGGGAGCTCCACCGAAGGCCCCAGTGCTACCCCCCGCATGCGTCTCCACCACCCAGCACAGCGCTTCGTGGCGCCATAGGGAGTTCCACCGTGGCCCCACAGGGAGCTCCACCGAAGGCCTCAGTGTAACCGTTAATCCACATGCGTCTCCCGCACCCAGTGCAGCGCTTCGCGGCCCCATAGGGAGCTCCACCGAAGGCCTCAATGGCACCGTCCACGTGCGTCTCCCCCACCCAGTACAACGTTTCGTGGCCCCATGGGGAGCTCCACCGGGGGCCCCAGTGGCAAAGTCCACATGCGTTTCCCCCCATCCAGTAAAACGTTTCGCGGCCCACAGGGAGCTCCACAGAAGGCCCCAGTGGCAAAATTCGCATGCGTCTCCCCCACCCAGTACAGCGTTTCGTGGCCCATGGGGAGTGCCACCGAAGGCCCCAGTGGCAAAGTTCGTATGCGCTTCCCCACCCAGCACAGCGTTTCGTGCCCCATAGGGAGCTCCACTGAAGACGATTCCCACAGCTGCGGTATTCACAACTGCACATGGATGGGTCCTTCGCCGGGCTAATTCTTGCCACAGCCCCACCCCATTCAGCAAGCTGTTCGGGGACTCGTAAGCACAAGCGGGTCAACTTTCTGGCCTCCGTCAGTTTATGTGTGTTGCGCCCCTCTTTCGCTCCTCTCCAGGAGCGAGGCTCGGCGGAGGCACAACAGGGGCGTGGGTGACCCAGGGGCGGGCACCGCGAGCCTTCGCCGGGGAGCCTCGCTGGAGGCAGACCTGCACGGTCGGAGCCCCTGGGTGCGTGCAGTGGGCCACACGCAGGGCTGGCTCTGCGCAAGAGTGCGTGGCCTTTGGTGCGCGGCCTAATGGGGGCGCGCGGCGGTCAACTCCGATGGCGCAAGTCCATGCGGGGGAGACCCCCTTGGGCCGAGGCTCCGCACCCAGGGTCACCTCCGGCGAAGGGCCACCCTGGCGTGTAGTCTCGCGTGCTCCTCCCCCCTGGGCGATCCGCCTCCCCGTCGCGGCCGCCGGGAGGTGCAGGCCTTTGCCTTCCCCACGGACACGGGCTGCTTCTACGCCTGGCTCACGGACGAGGAGTTCGGGTTTTTGAGCAGCCCGCAGGGGCAGCCGAGCCTGCTCGGCTGGCTCGCGGAGCTGTCCGAGGCGGCCGCGGCGGCCAGGGGCGGCGCCGCGGCCGGGCTGGAGGCGGGCGACGGGGGTGCCGCGCCAGTGCCGCACGGCGAGGCCATCTCGAAGAGGAAGAGGCTGCATCGGCAGAGACTTTCGGGGCGGAGGTCGGGGGGGGCAAGGTCCCGAGAGGAGACGCGCGCCGAAGTAGGCGCTGCTGCGGTTTCAGGACGGGGTTCTGGTTCCTCGGGCCCACTCGTGGCCGAGGCCCGCCGTGGCCAGAACAGCTGCTTCGTTCCATGTTCGGCGTTCCTGGTTGCAGCATGATGGCTCTAGCCTCAGGGCGGAGGGGGGGCATCGACCCCCCAGTGGGGGGTCGATGGGGGGCCCCCATCGCCCAATCATCGCCGATGAGGGCCGGATGGCCCGCCCCGCCCAGGACCGTGCGGTTTCGCCGTCGCCGATCTGTCGTCGAGGTGTCGCCCGGTTCGAGCTCGATGGCTCTCCCCCGAGCCTGTCCCCCGCGGACGTTCCCCCCGAGTCGAGCAGTGGCGAAGCGTCCCGGCTCGCCTATAGGCCCACCAAAGACCGGGTGTTGCCCGAAGTGCCCCTGGCCCGAATTGCCCCCAGCTTCTCGCTCCGTTTTGGAGCCCCTGGGGCCCTCTGGGCCTCGTGAGGGGTGCCCTGGAGGCCGCCTGGGTCACCCTGAGAATCCTCGCGGTTCCTTGGGCCAGGGGTATTTCTAGCAACACCCGGAAAGAGTGTTCTAAGATCCTTTGTGTGGTCTGCACGACAGGTTCTCAGAGCACTTCTGGCTGGGACCGTCTTGCTTTAGCACATCGGGTTCATGTTCTGAGAACATTGCTTATGTCATAAGAGCACTCCTGGGTCCCAAGAAAATTTCGTGGTAGGCCCATAGGAGTGCCGGGACCGTCGGTCCCTGCTCAGGTGAGGAGGGGGGGGGGCCAGCGCCGATCCGAAAGATCCGCGCGGAGCTCCGAAAGTTTCTCTTGGTGCAGTCTGCTCTCGTTCCTGCGTCGCAGCGGGCGCCAGCGCAGCCGCGGAGCCCCCCGCGGAGGTGAACTAGCTGCGCCTCCGGGTCGTGCGGGCCATCTGCCGGAGGCCTTCTCGCCAGCTGGCGCCGCTCGTGGGCCCAGCGGGGTGATGCGTGTTCTGCGTCCCAGCTTCTTGCGGCGTGCCGCACTTCAATGCAGTACACTTCTCTGGCGCACTGCATTTGCAATACAATTGCCCCAATTCTATTGCAACACCCCCTTTCAGCTGGACCCCCTTTTGGGTGACCCAAACTCGCGCTCAAGTGTTACGCTCGCTTCGCGGGGTGCACCTCTGGAGCGCGCGCGCAGGAGTGCGGGGGCTGGCGGCCTCCTGGGAGCCTTTTCTGGGGGCTTCGTGGGGGCCTCGTGCGGCTTCCGGGGAGCCTCTTGGGGGCGTCTCGCTTGGCATCGCTCAGACGTGTGTGTGTGTGTGTGTGTGTGTGTGCGTGCGTGCGTGCGTGCGTGCGTGCGTGCGTGCGTGCGTGCGTGCGTGCGTGCGTGCGTGCGTGCGTCTATGTGTGTGTGTGTGTGTGTTTCCGGCGAGGGCCATCGAGGCGCATCTTGGACCATCGAGCCCCCCCCAAAAAACAGACACGAGAAAAACACGCACGACATCGAGAACGGAACGGGGAATGGACGTCCGGGCGATGGCGAGGGAGGTGTCTCGGGGCGTCTTCGGGCGCTCTTGAGCCGTCTGGAGCCCGGGGAGGCCGCCGTTGGGAGGCTCTGCGGGTCGTCGTGGGGGCCCCCCTGGGGCCCTCCAGGGTCGTCTGTGGTATCTTTTGGGCCGTCGTGGGGGACGTCGTGGACCGTGCTTGGGCAGTCTTCGAGGCCTCTTGGGCATTCCTTGGGCGCTCTCGGGCTGGCTTGGAACCCTCGTGGGCGCCACTTGGGCCGTCTTGGGGCCCTCTTGGAGGCATCTGGGGCCGTCGGACTCCCGAAAGGGCGCAAACGTGAAAATGTGTCAACCACTTGAGGAAACTCAGTTTCTTTTGCCTCTCGCCCCTCTTAGGGGTCCTTTTGGGACCCTCTTGGGCCGTCTCGAGGACTTCTGCGGCCGTCTTTAGAATTTCTTGAGCTGTCCTGACGTCGTCGGTGGCCGTCTTAGAGCTATTTTGTGACTCTTGAGCCGTCGTGAGGCTCTGCTTGGACCCTCCCGAGGCCCAAGAGACCGAAGTCATTGATTTCTTTGTCTTCGCTGTTTTTCAGTTCCAAAAGCGGGGGAGGGGGGTGGCAGGGAGGGGGATGGGGGGGGATGGGGGCACCCTTTTCCAGGTGTGGTCGGTGGAAGTGGGGTTGCGCTTGTGGGGCTGTAACGGATGCATGGCTTACGCCACATCCCCCGACCTGGTGGGGGCCTAGGATAGCTCTCTCTGGGCCCTGGTGGGCTTCGGATGGGCCGTGTGGGGCCTCTCCAGGACGAGCAGTCGGAAATCCAAAAACCAGTTTCAAAAGACGCCGTGCTGGGCCGTGTTGGGGCCTCTTGGGCGGTTCTGGGGGCCCGCTGGGGGCTTCTTGAGCTCTGTGGGCTGTCCTGGCGCGTTGTGGAGTGTCTCGCCGGCCGTCGTGGCGCCCTCTTGAGCCGTCTTGGAGCTGGCCTGGGCCGTCTTGGAAGAGGCCCTCGCTGGCCGACCAGGGAAGCGTGTTTCGGCATTGTCTCGTGGCGCTCCTGGGCCCCGTTGGGGCCCTCTCTGGCGCTCCCAGGCCCACTTTCGGCAGCAAGGCGTGCGAGGCAACAAAGAGGTAATGACTGAATGACCGTTTGTTTTTGGATGACTTTGGCCCCTTCGGGGTACTCTTCTAGGCCTCCTAGATGGGGTCGGAGGATCGCGCCGCATCGCCGATGCGTCGGCGATGCGGCTCGATGCGGAGCCCGATTTGCTTCACGTCGACGTCGCCGGTGCATCGCCCACGTCGACGATGCATTGCCGGTGCATCGCCGATGCATCGTCGCCGATGTATCGCAATGCGGCACGGTCCTCCGAGCCTGTCTGCTCGGACCCCTTCCGGGAGGCCTCTAATCCTGGAGGAGCGCATTTTGGTTCAAGGCCTGTTCGAACACTGGCATCCTGGCTGCGGCCCGCGCGCGCCGTCGTCCCTGGCTCCAGCCTGCCTTGTCTCCTCCTCCTCCTCCTCCTCCTCCTCCTCCTCCTCCTCCTTCCGTAGCCATTTTGGTTCAAGGTTTTGAATTGGCCGTGCCGACGCATGGAGGCCGCTAGTCCGCGGACTGCTTTCGTGCATACTCGAGGCGTGGGCGCCTCGTTTCTTGAACGCTTCCACACTTCGCGCCCCGCATGTCGGAACTCCTCCCTGCGGCGTCCGACAACACGTTGCGCAGGGGGGGGCATATCGAAGCGCAAGGCTCATGGCGACGGTGCTGGCGCTGCTTCTGGTCCCAGAGGCGATCGCTCGCGCACGCCACCACCAAATGAAGAGGTCGACCTGGACGCCTTCGCCACCATGGCCTATGTCCAGACCCTCCAGTGCAAGATCGACAGCATGGAGAGCGCCATCAAGGAGTCCATCAACACCACCGTCTCCTCTGCAGTGGGCGACGCCACGGGCCCCATCACAGCCGCCTTGCTGGCCGCCCAGGCTGGGATCAACGGCTTGTCGGGCAAGATCGAGAAGGACATCAACCTCGCGGTCGGCCAGCGCATCGATGCCACACGCAAGGAATTCCAGCAGCAGCTCGACATCTTCAACTCCCGAATTGACGAGCTGGAGTCCAAACGCGACAGGACCGATGCCTCCATCGCTGCCATGGCCGACCAGATTAGAGAGCTCCAGCAGGCGCTGGACGTCGCGAGCAAGCAGCCCGTGCAGAACCAGTACGTCAGCCGCGACTTCGACAGAGAGATCGACGCCACGATCATCAAGGTCCACGCCGACGGCCTCGTCACGCTCGAAAACGCCACATAGGCCCTCACCAAGTGGATCACAGACTGCAGCGTCAAAGAGACAGACTTCAAGGACCAAGGTAAACCCACCTCACGGTTTTTCACTGTCCAGTTCACGGGCCCCCCCTGGGCCTGCCTCCAGGAGAGTTCAGAAGGTCCTCGACAGCCTGCGCGACCGCAACGGCAACTGGACCCGCATCCGTGCCCCAGCTGTCGCAGGTCAAGGGAGCGTCGAGCTGCGCGTGGGCTCCGACAAGTCGCCCAAGCAGATCAAGATCGATACCGCAGGCAAACGTATCCGGCAGGCCCTCGAGCGCGACTTCCCGAACCACAGCTGGCGGGTCGACCGCGCCAAGGGCTGGGTCCTGGCTGGCTGGGCCCCCTTCATCTCCTTCTCCGTTCGGCCTGGTCGTGGCGAACATCCCGTGCTCACCTACCAGGACAGTGGCCTCCCCGCCCTTGGCATCTACCGCGCGCAGCTCATGGCCTCCGCCAGTGCTGCTGTCGCCCCCGAGGCCGCTCCCCAGTTCTTGCTTTGACGAGATCGCGACCAGCCTGAACAGGCCCGCTTGCGGCCCCTCACCGAGCTTGGTCGCCGGCACCTGGAATGCCCGCGCGCCCCTGGGCTACCAAGGCCGAAGAGTCACCGAGAAGACCACGTACCTCCAGTCCTTCCCCCTCAGCAAGATGATCCTGGGCACGCGGGAGGTGCGCCAGGACCGCGCGCAGCTCCTCGCCGTCGTGAAAAAAAGATCAGCAGCACGCTGGGCATGCACTCCTCCTTCACCCCTTGCCACCACGGCATGATCAGTGGCGGGGTTGCTACCATCTTTCCCGCAGGCCTCCACGCCAAAAAGCGAAGCTCTCCCCCCTGGACGCGTCTGACGCACATCCTTCCGCACCAACAACCAGCAGCTGATCTTCAACAACATCCACACCTATGCGATCAGCAAGGCCGCCACCAAGCGCATCTCCACCCGCATCCTCAGCGACCAGCACCTCGCGAGGGCGGTCCCGAGCAACGTGATTCCCTTCGTCATGGGGGGCTTCAACTTCGCTGCCGCTGGGGAGCTCAAGCTCACGGAACCTGAGTCCAGAGCCAACGCTGAGGCCACCGGGGCGTCCAAGGCTTCTGCGCGCAAGTGGCACGGCGCGCTGCAGCGCCTGGTCGAGATCGAGGGGGGCGACACCACCCACTACTGCGCTGAGACGAAGTCCGAGTCGACGATCGACCGTTGCTTCTGCTCCATCACGCCTACGCAGATGCTGCAGCTGACTGTCAACTCCACCACCGTCTCCACCCCTGAGGACCTCTCACGTCGCCATGTTAGCGACCATGTCGCCCTCCTCGTCTCCTTCGCCATGCGCGACGTCAAGCCTGCCAAGAACCAGCCAATCGCCCAGTACATCGTGCAGTTCCCCATCTTCAAGAAGATCGCCGACAGTGTCTTCGAGGCGACCGATATGAGCTACCTGTCGCCGCCGTCCAAGCTCATCCTGACCACGGAGCTGCTACGCGAGATCGCGATGGAAGCCAGAGACCGCATGCTCGAGACCTCCCCGAACCGCGGGGATGTCCAGCTCCAGATCGCCAAGTCTATCGCCCGAGCTGTTTGGCGCGAAGACCGCAGGCTTGCCGCCCGCCTACTCCGTGTCCACCAAGCTGCCCAGGATCACCTGACGCTCATCGGCGAACAGGTCAAGCTAGTCGACCCTGTCAAATTCGAGGAGTGGGCCAGCAACCTTTTCCGACAGGACGCTGACCAGAGACAGGCAGCCATCGACCATGCCACTCAGCGCGGGCGCCTGCGCCCCGCGCAGTCTCGCGCTCAATCTCACGCTCTGCAGAGGAAGATTCAGTTCTGGAAACCGATTAGCAAGAGGCTCGCCCTGACAGGCGTCAAGACCAGCGTCGGCACCGTGATGGGGCCGAAAGAAAGACTGCAGAAGTTAGTGGAGCACTGGCAGCCAGCATCCGAGGGCGAACAGATCGACTTGAACAACGCTGCCGGCTATCGCATTCAGTTCTCGCCCAAGATCGACTTCAACAAATTCAACCCGCCCGACTACGAGACGCTCAAAAAGTTTGCCTCCCGCCCTTCCTCTACCTCACCTGGGATGGGCGGACTCCCGCACGTCGCCTGGGCCGCCCACGGGAAGTGCAACGTGCTCAACGGCGACATCCTCCCCGACGAGTGCAATGCCACGGCCCAGGCCTTCCTCCCCAAGGGTGGCGAGCCCGAGGGCTCGGAACACAGCGGCTGCCATTGTGACCCCTTCGAAAGTCAGAGTTCTGGGCCTCCGCAGCACATCTATGGAAATCATCAGCAGCACCATGAACGCTGCGACAGCCACGGTAGCAGCCGAGGTGGTCCCAGCCTCACAGCGTGGGTTCATCCACCGCCGCAAGTTCGGCTGCAACGTCCCAGAGCTCGACGTCGAGAGCCGCATCGCGTCCGCCGACCCCAACGCGATGGACGTGCTGCCCGTGCTCGCGTCGCTGGACATTGCCCAGGCGTTCCCCAGCTTCGCGCGCCAGTTCGTCCGCCTCGCGCTCGAGGCCATGGGCGCTCCTGAGGCGATCCTCAACGTCTTCGACTCCATGAACCACAACATCCTAGCCATGGCGCGCTACGCAGGCCAGTACACCCCCTTGTTCTACGTTCGCCCGGGCATCATTCAAGGATGCGGATGGAGCGGCACTCTCTACGCGATGGGCACTGCAAGCATTCTCCTGGACCTCGAGATGGTGCTCGAAGCTCGAGGCCGTGGCCTCTGTCGAGCCTGCGCTGACGACCTCGGGCTCGTGCTCAAGGCGGTCGCCCACCTCGCCTACCTGGCCGATGTCATGATCATCATTGTGGATGTGCTCGCGGGTCTCGAGCTGAGGGCCACGGAGTGCCACATCATCCCCTCGCGGGGGAGGTCAACGCCGAGCTCATCCTCAAGCTCCGCAACGCGTTGATCGCCATCGTCCCACGCTTCAAGGACTTCAATATCTGCGACCGCTTCACCTACCTCGGACTCCTGCTGGGGCCTGGGGCGACGGAGAAGCGGATCTTCGAGGAAGCCTTCAGTAAGTTCAAGTGGCGAGCCAAGATGCTCAGTGCCAGTGACGCACCGTCCATATGTTCCGCCGCCCTCTTCAACAGCCGTGCGATCCCTGTCCTCGGCTACCCAGCCCAGTTCGCGCTGCTGCCGCATCAGCACTTCAAGAACGAGAACTGGATCAACGCCTCGGTCCTGCGGTTCCCAAACGGTGCCTTCAAGGTCAAAGATTGGCCCCGCTTCGAAGACTGCAGCGTCCACGCTCCGCAGTCGCTCCAACTCGCGATGGTGGCCACCGTCGTCCGCTCCGCGACCGCGACGTTCAGCAAGTTCCCCGAGATCCGAGAGCGACCCCACGAAGGCCTCAACGCGTACGGCATCCAGCAGACGCTGATGGGCGCCGCCCGAGGCGCGCTCCATCGCTCGCCTCCCTGGTGGCAGATGCTTTTTTTGTGGAGCTGCTGCGCCAGTTCACCTCGACCTCGACCGAGCGCGCCTACTACCCGTCGGACCTGCTGCGACCTGCTGTCGGCTGCGCGCTGGAAGCCATCAGTGACGGACGCCCCGACCATGCCCAACGAAATGCATATGCTGCTGCACTCTCGGCTCGTGGTCCGGCGGACACCATCGGCCCATTCCTGGTCTCGAGGATCGTGGCCGGACTCCCGCACTATGCCGAGTTTTTCAACATCAATCCAGACGTGTTCTCCATGGTGAAGGCCTCCATGCGCCAGCTCCCGCCGTCATGGGCCGCCGCGTGGATGAGGGCCCTCTCTTTCTCGTGGAGGACACCGAGGCGCATCGTCCACCCCAATGGCCAGAATCTTTGCATATTCGGCTGCCGTCGCTGTCGAGATTCACTTCGTCATTATCTTTCCTGTGCGCCCTTGGCGCGAGCTGTGGGCAGAGCGTGCAGAGCACCCCCCATGGCCACCGTGATCGCGAAGCTCGGCCTCACGGACATGACCAACGAGTCCATCGAGCTCATCGTGGTTGGTCGCGTGCAACATGTACCACAATCTCAGAGGCGAGGTGTTCGTCTCAGAGGAGGCCCTCCTCTCAGTGGCCAAGGCGTCGCTGCGAGCGTCGAGGACCATAAAGAAGCCACCAACCGTCACGCGGGGCCCCCATCTTCGGCGCCATGGTGCCGATCGTGCTGGACGTGTCCAGCTTCAAGTTCACGATCGCGGAGGTGCCCGTCCTCCTCCGCCAGCTGCGCCGCCTGTGAGCAGGTGAGTGCGGCGCGCTGCGGGCGGCGCGCTGGGGCGCGCGGCCGTGGGCAGCCAGGAGCCTTCCCCCTCCGCATGCTCGACTCCTCCTCCTCCTCCTTCCTCTCCTTCCCTTTCTCCTCCTCCTCCTCCTCCTCCTGCTTCCTCTCCTTCCCCTTCTCCTCCTGCTCCTCCACCTCCTCCTTCCTTCGGCTTCCCTCCTCGCTCTTGGCAGGTCGCTGGCTTTACACATTTGTGGTCGGGTAGTTGGACGTTCGCTTCTCTGTACCCTCTCAGCTTACTTCTTGCTCTTCCCAAGTCGCGTTGACACACGCGCACAAAATTTGATGAGCGTCTTGGCACATCGGGCCGTCTTGCTGCCCACCTGGAGGCCTCTGACGAGTAACGCAGTTTGACAATCTTCGCGTCGTCAGAGGCCCTCTTTGACTTCGGATATTGTCTTCCCCCCTTCCCCCCAAGAATTCGTCACGCTTCCGCCCCCCGCCCTTCCAAACTGGCCATGCCCGGCGCCGGGGGAGGGGAGGGACAACAATGTCACACGCTGAATGACCCAGGGGTCGGTATTTTCTTCGCTGCATGGGGAGCACACGGCCCAAAGCGGCAACGGTTGGCAATTGTCACCCCAGTAGCATGCGCGGTCAGGGTTAAGTCGGGCCTGTCCCGCTACAGGGGGAATATTCAAAAATAGTTCAAAAAATAATTAGGGGATTATTTTTGGGGTATTTGTTTGACCATTTTGGGGTATTTTGATGACTACTTTTAATGTTGTGTCGAAAGTACCCCTATAGGGGGGACACGCCCGACTTAAGGCCAGGGGGCAAACCTGTGTCTCCTCCGCACGTAACCGACCACGGCGCCTGCACGGGCCGCGCTCACGGCAGACGAGCTCGTGCGGCCTGCCGGGTCGCCTGACAGTCCTGGCGCTGCAGCGGCATCGTTTCTTCTGTGGCCGCTGTCGGCCGAACCAGAAGCAGCAACCATTTTTGGTGGGAAGCTGGGCAAAGGCTGCTAAATCCGTGGCTGCTAAAACCGACCTCCGGGAAGTTGTCTTCGTCCTTCCGGGAAGAAGCCCGTGGACTGTTTCGCGTGCCGCGCCTCATTCCGGGATGTTGTTTTGTCCTTCGGGGAGGGCCGTTTTAGCAGCCACGGTTTTAGCAGCCCTCTCCCAGCTTTCGATTTGGGCCATCTGCGCCTTACGCTCGGCAACCCGAGCACCAAGCGCCTCGAGCATTTTGGGAGGGAGCCTGAGCGGGGCGTCAACGTCGGCGAACGCGCTAGCCGTCCCTCCCAACCTCCGACGTTTTAAACTGCCGACGATTTTATAACTGCCATTCTGGAGCTCGCGCTGAGCTCGCCGTCGCTGTTCACACGGTTCTGGCGAGGCCCCCGCAGAGCGGCCCTCGAGCGGAACGCCCCTGTCAGGCAGCAGGGCCTTCCTGCCACCTCCACCTGCCAGACCTCGGAATCGCGCAGACGCATGCTGAAAAGGAAAAGGGGTCTGGAGCCGTCTGGGGGTCTGAGGTGGCCCAGCACAGGTTCTGGCAAGCAGGAACGGGAAGGGGGAGGTCCGAGGTTCCCAGTACAGTAAGTTTGTTGCTGCCTTTTTTAGCCTCTGGGGGCCGTGCTGGGGTCCCAGGGCCGTCGAAAGTTGATCTACAGTGAAAATAATCTGCACCAGGTGGACCCAAGAAGGGGTCCGGTAACGGACTTCGAGCGGATTTGGCTTCACCCGCCTTCCTGACTGATTGTACGGGGTCCCAACCAGTTCAGAACCCCGGCCGTCTCCACACAGGGGCTGTCTGTCTTCAGGAAAAAAAGGGGGTTAGCTGGCCCAGCGATGATCGGCGGCGAGCGAGGGGGGCAAGCGAGAAGGAGGAGGCCTTCTCAGAAGGCGGTGGGGCTTCTCAGAAGGCCTCATGCTTTCTGAGATGTTTTCTGTGTCTTAGGGAAGGCTTCATGGAACTTCTCAGAAGGTACACTCTGAGGCTAATCTGGCACTCTCCCTCTCGCAAGACATCTGACCCCTGGACACATCAACATGCGACTCACGGACAGAATTGTTGAGCGCACCGCATTTGGCATATTGATCGTCCAAGTCTTTGGCCTTCTTCTCCGACGTTGTAATTGTACCATTGTGTGCATCTGCTACACTACAATGCGTTTTTCTTTTGAAGCCGGTGACGTCGCCAGCGTCGCAACTACTCCAGAAAAGGGGGCCACAGCTGCGCTCGAGGCCCTCCCGCAGACGACCCCCGAGCTGTTCGGGCTTCTTAGCCAGATCTGGCACGATATTTCCAGCAAGGGAACGCGGAGATGATCATCAGAGGCCTGGGCCAGCAGCGGACTTCACGACCTCCGCGAAGCCCGACGTCACCGACCACAGCCTACCACGCCACCTGCTACCAAAATCTAAGGCGCCAGTGACTACCCTGATGCTCACCACGACCGCCACCATGAGCACCACTGGCACCCCACCACCAGCCCGACCACCGCCAGCACGACCACCACCACTACGACTACTACCACGACCACCTCCGCGACCTTCGACCGACCACCATCACGGCCACCACTACCGCCTGCCCCCACCCCCCCCGGCCTTGCCAGGCCGCCCCTGCCACAGCGCGACCATTATGTTTTGCCTTTTGCGCCGGTAATTCGTTGATTCGGTTACCCTCGGTCGTATTCCTACTTGAATGGTCGAGTGGCTTCACCTTCTCCGTCCTCCCAAGGGGGCGGACGGAGCCCAATCTGCTTCCAACGCCTTCCTACGTCATGTTTCTACCTGCTTCTTCCGACCGGTGGGCAATGCGATTAAAAAGCGCAGGCAGGCCAGGAGTGCCACCGGGCCAGGCATGAAGAAACGGGCCCCAGCATGAACCCCAAGGCCAGGGGTTCCCTGTATGACGGGGGTGGGGGCCCACTCGGCCGCCCCCGGGCCAAGGAAAGGAGGGAGGGAGGGGGTAGGACGGAGGAGGGAGGAGGGAGGAGGGGTAGGGAGGAGGAAGGAGGGAGGGAGGGAGGAGGAGTTCTGGAGTTCTGGATATAGCGACCAGGTCGGTTACTCAAGACAGGCCTCTTATCGGTGAGCATGCGAGACACACACACACACGCGCGCACACACGCACACACACGCGAGGCGAGACATCAAAAGGCAACAAATGCACCGACATGCCTGGAAATAGAAACTGACAGCCCGCGATTGTGAAAGAATATATCACATCTGCTTGCGATCATGCTTCTGTTCGCTGGCACCGTCGGGACGCTGTGGACAAGAGGGAACTGGAAGACAACGGCACACCAGAAGCTCCCCTGAGCACAGCCTTTTATGTTAGGGCCAAGCCTGGGGGGCGCGTTAGCTCACGTAGAGCAACCCCCGCAGGCCCCCGATGCAACCCAAGAATACAGATGTTCGATTGAACTTGATTGTGCCGAGATTGAAACTGAGTGACGGTGCCTCACCAGACCCAGTAGATAGCGAGAGAGCCGACATGTGGGAACTGAAAGACAACGGCACCCCAGAGGCAACCCTGAGCACAACCTTCCATGTTAGGGCCAAGCCTGGGGGGCGCGTTAGCTCACGTAGAGCAACCCCCACAGGCCCCCGATGCAATCCCAAGAACAATATACATTTGAACTGGATTGTGCCGAGATTGAGACTGTGTGACGGTGCATCACCAGACCCAACAGATAGCGTTAAAGCCGACATGTGGGAACTGAAAGATAACGGCACACCATAAGCAACACTGAGCACAACCTTCCATGTTAGGGCCAAGCCTGGGGGGCGCGGTAGCTCACGTACAGCACCCCCCGCAGGCCCCCGAAGCAACCCAAGAATACAAATGTTCGATTGAACTTGATTGTGCCGAGATTGAAACTGAGTGACGGTGCGTCACCAGACCCAGTAGATAGCGAGAGAGCCGACATAAGGGAACTGAAAGACAACGGCACCCCAGAGGCAACCCTGAGCACAACCTTCCATGTTAGGGCCAAGCCTGGGGGGCGCGTTAGCTCACGTAGAGCAACCCCCACAGGCCCCCGATGCAATCCCAAGAACAATATACAATTGAACTGGATTGTGCCGAGATTGAAACTGTGTGAGGGTGCATCACCAGACCCAGCAGATAGCGTGAAAGCCGACATGTGGGAACTGAAAGATAACGGCACACCAGAAGCAAAACTGAGCACAACCTTCCATGTTAGGGCCAAGCCTGGGGGGCGCGTTAGCTCACGTAGAGCAACCCCCGCAGGCCCCCAAAGGGAAAATTCAGCTCTGTTTGCAATTGCTCGCAGTGGTTGACTCGTCGGGCAGAACTGGCGGTGGTCCTGCCGCTGTCGTCATCTCAGCCGCTGCCCTCGCGAAGCCCTGGAACAAGGCCCCCACGTCGAGCGGTTCCGAGGATGGCACCGTCGAGGCCGGGTGGGCCGGAGACGACAGAGGCCGTGTGACACGCCGAAAGGCACCGATGTCGCGCACGAGCCTCGCCCTCTCGGGACTGGCGTACCAGTCCTCGGTCTTGGCACCCGAGCTGCAGCCAGCCGCAAAGACATCCGCCTCCTCTGCGGCGAAACGCGGGGAAGTCGCCTCGGGCGCCTGACGATCCAGGCGTGCGCGCCGACGCAGGAAGGGTCGCTGTCGCCCCCGCGCGGCGCGCTCCGAACGGGCTTGCGCCCAGGCCTGCACCTCCTCGTCCCGTTCGCAGCAGAAGGCCCTCGCCTCCTCCAGCTCGCGGTCGGCCTCGGCGGCGGCCGCGGCCACCCCCTCAGAGCCGTCCGCGGAGGGTGGGGGTGGGAACCCTCCCGCGGGAAGCTGCCAGCACTGGCCCTCGACGAAGTCGGACGCCTGCTTGACGTGCGGCACCACGGTCAGCTGCCCTCTGCGTGGAGTGTTGGTGCCACGTGGCACCCCTGCCAGAAGCCCGTTGTACGAGGAGAAGATGACCGTTCCACAAGTGCATCTCAAACCAATCTCCTGCAACGGTCCACTCGCCAAGGGGATTGGAAACCAACAACCAGCGCCTGGTCGAAAGACCTCAGCTTCTGATCTCATACTGGCGACCTCGCCCACAGAGGGAGCGTGTCGCGGTGTTTTGACACCTTGCAGCTGCTTCTTGAGGTCAGCAATTTCTTGACGTAATTTCTGAACGAGACGATCGGCCGATGCACGTGCGCCTGCTCGGCCTCTCAAGCCAGTTTTAGCGCGCCACCAATCTGGGCCGCTTCCCGTAGCCAAGCCTCGTCGTGCGAGTTCGCCCCATTCTTCGCCAACCATCCGTGAATAAACAGTTCAGGTTTCAGCAAGCACGCGACGCCAACGCGATGGGACGGGAGGACATGAGCGCGTTTGAGCCAAAACGGATCCCCGCGCCCAGGGCCCCCCTTGCTGTGCTTGAGGGAGGGAGGAGGAGGAGGAGGACGAGGAGGAGGAGGAGGAGAAGGGAGGGAGAGAGGAATTCATCCTCTTCCTCCTCTTACTCCTCCTCCCGGTCGCACCCTGAGTCTGGTCGAACGAGTGGTCCAGATGTTTCGCCTGCAGCTTCCTCACTATTGATTATTGTGAAGCTTCACGGATTCAGGGCAGTCCGCTTTCAAAATGCGACTCAAAGTTTGCAAGAGCTTTACGGATGGAGGGCGGGCTCTCTTCAAAATGTGGTTCTCGCCATAGTGCCGCGCGCGTTCAAATTGCAGGAGTTTCACGGATTCCGGGCGGTTTCTTTTCAACATGTGGCTCTCAACTGAGCGCCGCGCACATTCGTTTGACAAAGTTGTAATAGCTTCACGGATAGAGGGGGGTCCTTTACATTATATGGCTCTCGCCGTGGCGCCGCGCGCATGCGTTTGAAAGAGTTCGCAACAGTTTCAAGGATGTTTACAGCTAGCGTCCCAGAAATGATGTTTCGGCACGATGTCGGAATGTCATGCGCAACCGTCGCGTTAATTCGCGGCGTTCAAGTCATAGGAATGGTGTTCTTGCGTGATTCAGGATCGTCAAGACAGAACAGTAACGGTGATTCGCGGCGCTGCAGTCCAAGGAATTGTGTTTTGGCACAGTTCCAGATGTTCAAACAGTTGTCTCCCAATGGGGCAGTTCCCTCAGTGGAAACGAATCCTTGTAGGGGCCTGTCAAGAGAGAACTTGGAGGTAGGGTTTATTGCAATATCGTTGGTGAGCCTTGGGTTTGCACTGGTCCTCCTCCTCCCTCCTCCTCCTCCTCCGTAGCCATTTTGGCTCGAGATGATTCCGCCCCGTGGCAGAGCACGGATGCCATTGGTCCAGGGACAGCGAAGGACTTGCTTTCATATTCACGCTTTTCACCTCCCCTGGTGGTCGAGCTTCATATTCGGCTCAGCGCTCGCCCGCTGCAGCCCCCGCCCGCAATCGACCGAGGCTGGCGCGGGCCTCGCTCTCACGTCATGGGAATCAACGGCGCTGCAGCCCCACCGGTCGCAGCCGCAGGCGACAGTGAAGCAGATGGAGCCAAACGACAACAGGATCCA